TTGGAAAAATAAACTCACAATCTTATCTCCTATTTTCTGATCAGCCAAATTCTCATCTACATGTACACACATACACACATATCCTTGAAATTTGACTACAATTTCTAAAAAGTCCCAAGTAAAATATTATCATCTACATGTACACACACACACACAAACATATATTATCTATTCCAAATCGCCAGTACAATTCGTAGGGATCTGTTCTATAATTTCGTATCCTTGAATTTCGACTATAATTTCCAAAAGTTCCAAGTAATTTTCTATCATGATTTTCTAATCTTGAAATCCGAAAACTTCGGAATTCTACTATTAGAACTATAAATTTTGAAGACCCTCTTTGATAATTAGTTTTTCACTTTTCTTAAATTGGTGCTACGCGCACATGGTGGGAGCCAAACGTTGATTGGCGGAAGGGGCAGGGGAATAATTGTAATAGTCTTACTGCCGCCTTGCGCTTTCTTCAGTGGGTTGTTCTTAAAGATGTAGGGTGCTTTCGAGGGTTATTGCATATTTTTGAAGAGGCCCTGTTTTCCAAATAGCGATCGACATTTTGGTAAGTGTGTCATCAATAACTGTGGTCAGCTGGATCGGCTCGTTCTCGGAGGGCTGAACGGTAAGAAGGGGGTGGGGGGAGCTCTATCTTGCAGGGGCATCACAAGGTGGGGGGTGAATGTCTCAAAGAGGGTAGGGGTGGAATAGGGGGTTGCCCTATTCTAGGGCAGGGGCTGGTGTGTGGGTCAACGTCAGTCCCAATGGAGGCAGAAGTGGGCAAGGGGCGGCTGGGGGCATGCTTTAGGTGGGAACTGCGTGCTCCTTGGGAAAGGGGGGTAGAGGGTTGGTCCTATATTGGGGCCGAGGGAGAGTGGGTGACTCGCCTCGGCGGAGGCAGTGTAGGGCTGAGAGGGGAGCGGTAGGGAGAGGGAGGGGCGATCTCTCTCGAAGAATTCTAACATCCAGTTTTTCTTTCCATTTGGTTTGCCTCTCGAGGAGGTTGTAGGAATAGGTGTTATTTGGCAAGTCATCTGTGATCCTGCGAAGGGTGGTCGAAAATTCGGTGGCCCTTGAAGACCAATGCTGGAGCAACGCTGGCTGGAGCCAAAGCCAGGTGGCGCAACTCTGTGACCTAGTTTACTGGGGGCGTGAGGCCTGGTAGAGAGATCTGGAGGGCTGTTTGCGGGGCAGTCTCAGTGGTCATCGAGAGTCGTAACTGGAGCAATGCTGGCCGGTGCTGGAGCAAGGTGGTGCAACTCTGTAACCTAGCCTGATGGGAGCATGAGGCCTGGAAAAGCTGCGGTTCATGCTGAAAACAGCCATGTTAGTTGTGGTCGTAGGTGGATTGTGAATAGGTTTCACCTATCTGATTCGTGGTTGGGGGGCTTTTTTACACACATGTTCTAGTGACTTGGTAGAGAGTAGTGGTCCATGAATGTTTCGGAGTTTTCCCTTTTTCTTCAATTGTTCTTAGCCGAAGCCGGGTAATGGGCCCGGTAGCTCATTTTTTGTATTCTGATAAGGGACGCTGTGCCGACTTCACCTCGACTTGGCAGGCAGCGGTGTGGTGGACACCAGCGTGTGGGCGACTGCCACAACGAGTAGCACGACCACAAAGTGGTGGCAACCAATGAAAAGGGGACGGACCCAATCGAGCGCAATGATCACGAAGTTCGGGACGACCATAAAGGAGGGCCCGTGTGACTTCTCTTCTTACCCCATGCATCCGGACCGGATCTTGGCCAGGTTCAGGCACCTCCCCCTTAATCCTTTCATACTTCTCTCCAATCTAAGTGTTTTTTACCCCATTCGTGTCCAGATCCTGATGTCTCCTGACCGCGACCTCTGTCGGCCATTTAAAACCACGCAGATCATGAAGTCGACCCCCACGAAAAATAGTATGACGACGAAAACACAAGCGGCCAGCACGGCAGCGATCGTGACAACGGCGTGAATGATGAGGATGGCCACTAGATTTGAGGATGGTGATCACGATTCGGACGCCGTAGAAGATCATGATGATAAGCTAGTGTAAGTGGCTCACACTCCTCTATCACCAATTTGCAAAATGAGAATGAATCTTCCACTAGAACACGGAAAGATACATCCATCTCCGCCACTACGTTGAACGAAGTCGCTTATAGGAGTAGCTGCGTCGGGATCTTTGGTAGCAATCACGGACAGCAACGCGAACATCAGCAGCACTTCGATGGTGACCTTGAAAACGGCGAAAAAGGAAATACTTGGGCAGATTGCGTGACAAAGACAACGATGGTGTGCTTCGACGAACAGCTTGATCACGAAGATGGTGTGCCCGGCGTGTGGCCTGAAGATGAGCTCTGGTGGAACAAACAGTTGAGCGCCCGCACCCTCTCTCCTTCACACTCCCACTTCCTCTCATGTCCCTCACGTCTTTCACTTACCCTGTGTGCCTGTGCTTTCGCTAGCTTTCATGCACTCTATCGCAAGCCCTCGCGACAAGCTTGCTCGCTTGTGTAAACCGAGGATGAACCCTCCCTAGGAACAAGGGAAGACGCACGTCGTTAAGGCGACTCCATGCAGGTAAGCGTTCTGATTCCCTGCTCTCCTCCTTCGTCGCCTTCTTCGTCTTCTCCACAAACTTTCTCACTTCTTCATCGTGTCTCCCAACTCTATGACCAAGATATCGCGTAGCACTGGTCTGTCCGTCAGCATACCGATATTCTCCGCTAGACTGACCAGCCGCGCCCTGCCTCTTTTATCTCTCCGGTAGCCTAACTCCCTTTAAGTTACCTCTTTCTCCTAAGTTCCTCACAAGGCTACTTATGAGGAGGGATCTGCCCCTGATTAGGCATTAGATTCGTTGAGGGAGAAAAAAATAAAACGAACAACAAAAGAAAGGCCTAGGCGCTCCTCACTGCTATGCACGACCTCCTTAATCTCCTATGTACTGTCCCAATTTTAACGGACATCCTGAAGGGAGCAATGACCTCGGTATCATCGGGCCAACCGGGCCCAGGTAATTCATAATTGTAGTATTCGCTTATCTACTTCAACTGGAGTTCGACCTCAGGTCTGTATTTCAACAGTCCATGGGTGTACCAACCGGGTTAAGTTCGTTGGTCTCAGCACCGGTCCAAGTACCAACGGCACGCACATGTCCCATAAATGGGATATAATAATAAAATTAAAGATACAAAACAAAAGTAAAAATAAAGAAAGAAAAGAAAACTGATGAGGAGGGGAAAGAGAGGAACCCGCTGGTACCCCCTCGGTCCTCGCGACCGGGCTCGACAGCAAAAGTTAAGGGGCATAGTCAACCCCTTGGCTACCTTTCATCATGCCTGCAGCTCCGTCGTCGCCAGCAGCTGGCCTCGAGCGTTATATCCGCCGCTTGGAAGTTAGGTGTTGTAACCTATAGTGCTAGGCCTATGGCTGGGTAGAGAAGGCGCAGACTCCCTCATAAAGAGTACCCACCCTGCTCCCAGGCCTGTCAAATGGCACTAAAGGTCGCATTTTGGCCCATCGGCCACTTCAACGGGCACCACATGTCCGCCCCCGCTGCTTGGTGGGGCCGTCTTTACCCGTGGCCGCTGCACATATGACAAAATCACATAGTGGCCAGGAAGTCTGGCTTTCTAAATCGGCTACTCCCTCAAAAAGCCACACTCTTCCTACCATCGGCGTCGGGAAACCGCAACTTTTACTTATATCACACCCTGCTCACGCCAACCTTGCCGAGGTCATTGGCAGTTTGTACTGCCGACCAAAACATGGTCAACCTAAGCATTCAACGCACCTCCCACTACGCGGACCCAAGCGCCACCTCCGGTAAGTCAAGAAAAATCACCTCGGAACATGGTTCTGATAACTAACCTTGACGTCGACCATCAAAAATGCCGGTCTCTGCGCGAGCGCACTCAGTGCGTGTGTGATGCTAATCAAGATTTTAACTCCTTTCTAGGTCGCACTATTGCGCGAGGTCGTCAATTACAACATCAGCTTACTAAATAAAAAGGTGTCTGTCTAAAACCGCGTGTGCCCCCAAGGGGCATGCTCGCACACTCTCTGATCTGATCATATGTGCGCTCGCCATTCCGACTTCTGAGAGTCGGTTGCGGGCCACGCAAAGATGTGCTACTCTCGCAAATATCATCGAGGATGCATCTCGTGCGAGACACAAAAATACGCACAAATAACCTTGTAAGGGTATTCGTGCCGACAGTGACCTCTATCCCTACGATGGGTATCTACTGTCCATCCACATTTTGCAAGGGCCAAGGGCCCTGTCTACAGCTATGCCTAGCAAGTACAAGTTAAACTCCCCCCCTCCTCCCCCCCCCCTAAGACCCTGCCTAAACCTGCCCGCAACCCCCTCTACCCCCCAACCCCCCTACCCCCCACACCCCCCTACACCCCCCGGCCCATGGGAAGCACACGAGACATGACCCTGATCATCAGACCTAACCATAGACAAATACTTCAACAGCCCTCCCAAAGCCCTATGCCCCTTGGGTGGTGCGCAGGCAGTGTCTGTAATCCTTACCATGTGTAAGCCCAACGGTGGTGTGCGGATGGGCGTGCATGGGTCAACGCCCGCCGGTGCCATGCGTGAGGACACGGAGTTTTGAACCCACAACCTCAGACCACAAAGCGCATTTCCAACCAGTGCCCCACCCACTGAGCTACCGACCATCCACTGCTTGTGTCTTTTTCTGGCTCCCTCTTTTTTTTCCCTCTTTTTTCAAGTCCGTTTTTTTTTTGAAGTCTGTTTTTTGTCAAGTCTGTTTTTTTTTTAAGTCTGTTTTTTTTCAAGTCTGTTTTTTTTTAAGTCTGTTTTTTTTTGGATGTCTGTTTTTTGCCAATCCCTCTTCCCTCCCCCCCCCTCTCTCTCTCCCTTTCTTTCTCTTTCTTTCGTGTCATGTTTTTCTCTGTATGTGATTTGCTGGTCCATGGACTGGAGCATCCTTGTTTTTTAATCCTTAAAAAATACTGCTTCATTCTATTTGGCATGGTGTGTCCAACAGCGCGGGAATGCTGCATTGTCGAGAGCAGACCACTCATATGCACGGTGCTGGTATGACACTTCGATTAGGCTTGCAAATGCGACACGAGTGCAGGCAAGTTGTTACTTTATCCATTTGTTTCCTCCTGGATTCAAACTCAGGATCTGCTTACAAAAAGTTACATGCATGTACCATACAGCCAAGATGGGCTTGGTCCTCAGGCAAGTTGTAGAAAAAAGAGAAGTTTTGAAAGAAGCAAGAAGAAACAAAAGGTTGCAATGCATGCTTGCTGGTTGGGTGGTGAGAGGGACAAGTGCGTGGCAGTTTGTAGCGAAGGGAGGGGGGAAGGGGGAGAAGGGGGGTTGCGTGCAGGCAGGTCATGGGTGGGGATGGGTGTTAGGGGAGGGGTTGCGGGGATGGAAGACTCTTGGGTCAATTGATATATACTTGTTATGATCCAAGAGAAATTTGCTTTGCGAGGACTGAGCCCTCGGCGGGCCTGAATATTCACCAGAGGCCAAAATTTGACATTTTCCATACGTTGGTACTTAGGCAGTTCCAGCACGCCAGTTGGTTGAGAGGAAGCGTGAGCCCTCTGTGCTGCGCCGTACAGTTGAGCCCAGGCCGTGGTAGTTGCGCCTGGGCACACACACACAATGCAAGGCAGATACATCACGAATTGGCTACAGGCCTACGAAAAAGCAGCATTGTCGACGTATATACCCCGGGTCCTGTGCAAATGCAGCAAACGGCCCAAGTCTGGAAATACTGGCTTCTGCCCAACTGTAAAGGGCCTCAACTGCACAGCTGGGCCTGGGCGCAGGCACTGGGGCCTGACCGGAAGCTACTGGAAGCTCCCCAGCCAGGCCACATGCAGCCAAACAGAGGCTGCCACTTCCATATAGGGAAGGAGGCAGCCAGGGTCAGGATTCTGGCCCAAGCAGGCATTGAGGTCACGCTGCTGCATTGCTGCACGATAGGCTGCATGCTGCGTTAGCGCCCAGGGTGTGTGCGGGCGCTTGAGAGGTGAGAGGGGCGCTGCTGGGCAGCGGAGCGCAGGCAGCCATAGCTGGGCTGCAGGGCGCTAGGGGGTAAGAGGGCAATCGGTGGTCTTCAGGAAGGAGGCGAGTGTGGGTGGACAGGGTCTGATGAGGGGAGACGAGATACGTACCTGGTGCATGAGGGAGGTCGACTATGGTGTTGACGTCATGTACATTGGTCTTCAAAGCCGAAGTCAGCCTGTTGCGTGAATTCGGATATAGTACTAGGATAGGCAAGTAGTGTAGGCTGGGCGCTGGGTGCCAGACAGAGAGGAGCGACATTGGATACTGTGTTGGTGTGGCCTGAGGGCTTGAACATTGGCTCATGAGTTCATTGTATTGCTCTTATTTGGATGGAATCTCGGGGCATTTGTGCTCTCTGCTTGTACACGACTACTTGGACATCTGTGTGATTTCGCAACTTGGTTTTCTGTATATCGTTCTCACTCATATTCCTTGCAAATTGCTATTTCAAGGGCTATTTCGAAGTGCAATGACACAAACAAAGACAGTGTCTTTCAATTGCAAATTAAATGAAAGAACTTGGAAAGAGAAATAGACACAGAAAGAAGAATAAAGAAGGGAAGAAGAAGAAGATATACACCAGCAAAGACCTATGTCAAATTTCCCCTCCAACTCGCCATGTCACTTCAACCTCCTTATCTCTCGCAACCTCTTCATTCAATATCTAAATAATAATGATAACAATGGAAGAGTGAACCAGAACCAATGTCCGAATCTCCTCCTTTCTGCCAACAGGACATGAGGTCCACCATAGCCACGGCCTACACCTTCTTCCTCCTCTCTACAGTAGGTGGGCTATTGGCGACTACTGCGGCCTGGCCCCGATGTTCAAACGACTTTATTATGTTATGATCCTGGCCAATTTCGAGATACACATCCATCAGATATTACAATGCCGCCCAATTGCAGAAAGAAATGAATGAACTTGAGAGGAGAGCGAGGATTAGAAGAAGAAGATGAAGTACACCAGCATAGACAAATGGCAAGGCTCTTCTTCTTTGCCCAACAATCTCCTCCTCCTTATCTCCCCCTTCTCTTATTCATACAAGAAATAATAATACAATGTTGAATGGCTGATCCAGAATCAATGTCGGAGTTCCTCTTCTACTGCAGGTATCACTTGAGGTCCACCATAGCCATGGCCGCCTCTCCCCCTCTTCACTCTCATAGGCCGAGGCTATGGCGGACTACTAGGCCTTGCCCAGATGCCCAAAGGACAACCCAAAGCAGCTATGGCTGCTGCAGGCCGCCATGCCTGACCCTGCCTCGAAGCTTCTTGGTGTGGCTCTCCCCAGTTGGGAGACTCCCTGCTGCAGCGCCCACCAAGGTGATGAAGATGGCTGCCACCATAGCCAGGTAAGTACCCCTGGCGCTCCCCCCCCTTCCTACCTTCTTCCTCCCTAGTGTCCTTCTCCTTCCTCCCCAGCAGCGCTGCTCCAGCCAGCGCTCCACCAGTGTGTCGCCAAACTTGCACACCGAAAAAGAGGCCGGGTCTTCGCCCGACCGGGAGATATAGCGGCCTGCTTGCCTCTTCGGGCGGTGACTTCCAGGCCGCTCGGCCTTCCAAGCAACCGGTACCTCCTCCCTTTCGGAGGGAAACATCATTGCAGACTCTGACATTGCCCGTACAGGCCCTAGACCCAGACTGGTTGGACTGGTATCCACCTAGACCTAACCTACAACTACTGGGCCTCTAAAATGCCACTTTTGTCTTCTTCTGCTCGGCCTCCAGTACCCGCACATCTACCCCTTCAGGGTGCGGTACCAGCCTACCCGCTACTTGAGTCTTTTTCCTGCTGCAATCCCTCAATGTCACGGCCACAGGTAAGTACCGGCCCTGAGGGCCCAATGAACGAGCAAGTGCCCTTGCGGGCCACACACACACTCAAGCCAACCAGCACTCAGACAGACATGCAGTCCAGCAAGCGTGCACACAGACTTAGTAGCAAGCGGGAAACTCAGCAGGGCATTCAGTCTATGGGCAAAACTCATAAATCAGCTGTGTGTTTCAGTCCATGTTTGGACGGGTCATCACACTACTCCCCCCTCAAGAGCGAGGTCCCTTCGAGCAAGTAACTCATTCTGAGTCCTCGATAAACGCATCGTAAGCAAGCAAGGCAAAGAGGTTTCTAGAGTACTCTGTTGCAGTGAGTCTTGCAGTAGGTACAGCGTTAGTGGCGATTTGTCGCTCGTAGGCTTTGACAACGAGCGGTGCACTGTGTAGCAGTTCCTGTTTGGAAATCCAGTACAGATCGTCTAATGGGTGATACATGAAGTGAACTTGGTACTGTCTGTTGCGTCCCTTCCCTACGTGCTGTTTGATTTTGTCTATCTCATGCCCGCCTTTGATCGCACGAGGGATCATGTCTTCGCGATAGTCGAACGTCTTAGCATCACGGTGGAGGTACAGTTTCGATGCATGGAACGCAAGGTATGTGCGCAAATGGGCTGGCACATCAACTACGTACGAAGGGCCAAAGTGGTCTTCGCCAATCACATCCAAAACTTCCCACGGTCCGTAATAGAGTGGGATAAGTTTGCGAGAGACCCCTTCTTCTTCTGAGAATTCAGACATCTTGACCCAGACATAGCTTCCTACCTGAATGTCCGACGGTCGGCGCCCCTTGTTCGAGTGATGGATCATGGCATGTTGTCGCTTGGTCATGGCTGCAATGGCAACCTTGAGCAAGCGATCATACTTGGCCCTGAAGCTAGGCCTGCCGGGTGTTATACCAGCTGGCTGCTCAGGGAATAGGTAGGAGAGCGGATTACGGATCTGCCAACCGAGATGCAGCCTGTTAGGTGCCATGCCAGTGGCAGAATGGATGGAGTTGTTGTACAACCCCCTAACGGAATACAGCTCATCATCCCATGTTTCCTGATCCGGGATAATCAAAGCGCGGAGAAGTTGGAACACAGTCTGGTTGATTTCTTCAGCCAAACCGTTGGCTTCAGGGTGTCGGCCAGTTGTCATACACAGCCTGATCCCCAGATGAGACGTGAAGTCCTTCCATTCAGTACTAATGAAGCACGGGGTCCCGATTGCTTACGAGAGTCTTCAGGGTCCCGAACTGCAGAATGTACTTCTGTTGGAACTCGTGAATCACTAATTCTGTTGGGGCGTGCGGCAACAAAGGGATCAGATTGAGAAACTTAGAGAATCGGTCAACAATCACCATGACTTGTGAGTAGCCGTTCTTACTCACCTTTCCCATGTCGGTGAAGTCGATGGAGACGGACTCCCCGGGACCATCGGGAATGGGAAGGGGTGCGAGTAGCCCCATGGGCTTTTGTTTGCATGGTTTGATTCGTTGACAGACTTGACACTCAACCACAAACTTTTCAGCAGTCCCTTTCATGCCAGGCCAATCAAACTGTCGCAGCAGATTTGCGTACGTCTTTGCCATGCCGAAGTGTCCGCTCCGGCCATGAGCCAAATCCAGAAAATGTGTGCGGAGAGGCTCATGGTTGGGCACACACAAGTGGTCGTGGTTCCCGTAGCGACGGAAAATCAGTCCTCCATATTTGTGAAAATCAGGCTGACTACTAGGATCAGCCCGCAACCGCTCAAGGAGGGGACTAAGTTCCGGATCCTTAGTTGTCTCCTCTACGAGCTCCTCCTTCAGTTTCTTCCGGAGGTCGTAGGATTTCACAAGGCAAGTCATGTACTCAGGGTGGCGAGATAATGCGTCAGCGAATTGATTATAACAACCTTTTTTGTGTTTCAACTCAAAGTCAAAGATGTCAATTTCATGGAACCAGCGAATTAACGTAGGGGACAGGGTAGTTTGTTCCTTGATTCACTTCAGGTCTCATGATCTGAGAACACTTCGAAGTGGCGTCCCAAAAGATAGTGCTTTCAATGGTCCAAAGTCGTACGCAAAGCATAGAGCTCGCGCATATAGGTGGAAGTGGCTACCTTTACGCTGGGCATGCGTTTGCTGTAGAATTCGAGCGGCCGCAAGCCATCACCGTCATCTTGCTGCAACACTGCGCCGATTCCATACTGACTTGCATCCGTAGTAACTACGAATGTCAGTTTGGGATCTG